GTCTGGAGAATTATCACGGGGAGCGCGGGATTGCTGCGGGAGATCTACGGTCAGATGTCTCATTAATACCAGTAAATCAAGCAAATCAATTCCTTCACCAGCCTCTTCCTCCCCGTTGCAGAATGCAGAAATAAAACAAATAAACCACGGCGTGGGGTTGGGTTGCAGAACGGGAAACATGGGCTTGAGAGAGGCTCTGGAGGGACTGCCAGTGGGACTTTGGGACCCTTCAGGTCCCTTCCCAGGCATAAAAGCCCCGCAGCCCCCAGGACCGTGGCCATAAACCAAGGTGCCACCACCACCACCAGGGTGACACGTGGCCCTGGGTGTCACATCGAGGGTCCCTTTTGGGATCCCCCAAAGCCCTTCCCCTCTGCTCCCGCCCGGCCGAGCCAGGGGCAAGCGGCAGGAGCAACAATAAGAGAGGAAAGTTGGCAAAAAGAATCTCGAGCTCGGAGAAACAAATGAAATCTCATCATTTATCCCCAGTGGTCAGTGGCACAGATAACATTTTTCAAAGTGTAATTGCAGTCAATTGTACTTTCCCCCCAGTGCCCGTCAGCTCATCTTAGCCGGTGTGATAAATGTTAGCTTTTAAGCAAGAATGGATTGATTATTAATAGCTTAGATACCAGTTACAGGAACTGCAATAAAACTAGATTTTAATTTCCCTCTCTATTAAGGAATCTCATGTTTCATTCAACGTGGAGAGAAAATAGGGTTTTTTGCACAGATATTAGATTTACTGCCGCTATAAAAGATCATTGATGCACCTAACTCCGCTTTGTGTCTGAGCAGCTCTTAAACAAAAACCAGGCTGCTGGGACACCCCGAGAGGGGCTGGGGGGGGATGCAGCTCCTCGGGGTGCTGGGAAGCCCTGGGGGGGTCCCAAACCACCCGGCACCCCCCAGACAGAGCTTTCCATCCCTCAGGTGCCTCTGATGGTGGCAGAGCCCAGAGCCTGCTCCTGCTCCCCCACCTCCCTCCCGTGTGCTCCCGTTTGCCATTAGAAAAAAATCCCTGCAGAAAATCACTTAATCAGGGCAGGGATGTTTCGGCTGTGATTTGTGTCTAAATCAGGAGAAAAAGCATAAAAGCTGCCTCGACTGAAGAACGTAGTTGTGCATTTTAATCTCTTATAACTTACTTTTATGATGTAATTCTGAATTATGTTATTGCATTTGTATTTAGAGAGCACACCAGATGGTGCATGCAGTAACACTTTAAATTAGGGTTTCCCAAATACACATTAAATTTAGATTTAATAAGACAGTTATCACATGGGAATTAAATACCAATTGATTATTTATAAAATATCCCGGCTCAGCAAAGTGTGCAGCTCAGCCATCCCGGCGCAGAGCAGCTGGCGTGGAAAAAAGGCACCTTTACCCATCAAATAGGGTCTCACCGCCTGCCCTGCTGCCCGTCTGGGTGCCACCAGCCTCCAGCATCCTTGCTGGCCTCCCTGGCACCCTTTTGGGCATCCCCTGAGGCTACAGATATCTAAGGCCATTACAGCTCTGCCCAATTTCATGAAATCATTTCAGGCCCTGTGCTGCCAGTGATTTATTTATTATTATTGTTATTATTATTATTATTGTTATTATTATTATTCAGCCCCACAATATGCTGCTCAAACACTCCGGGCCGTTTACCTTAATCAAGCTGATTTCCATTCAGATGAATTCTCTTGTCCATCCCTGTTCCAGTAATGTTATTTTAAGCGTGAGCCGTGCCTCGGTCCAGGCGTGTAACCGGTCGGCGCGATGCAGAGGGCACGGCGCTGCTTTATGGCGAATCAAACAGAAGTGAAATTAGAGAAGCTTTTAGGAGCCGTAATTTATGTATTGTAACTTCTGCTTGGGGCCGGTGAGTGCGATTACATTCCCCTCCTAGATTTATCTGTCCTCTTGGTTTGTGGCTCGGCGTTTCTTCCTTATTTTTTTTTTATAACTTTTGTGCCTGCATTGCCCTGGGCGGATCTGATCGCTGCCCAGGGGAGCGAACCCCAAACCCTGTTGGCCTCGGGCTCACCCCACAGCCTCCACCTCACATCCCGCCGTGGGACAGGCACTGCGGGAGCAGCCACGCGTTAATTACCTGCGTTAATTACCTGCCTGCTGGCGGTGGCTTGGCTCCAGGAGCCCGCTAATTGCCGCAGTGATGCTGCCTGTCACTGCCCCGGTGCAACCCCAAGAGCATCAAATCCACCACGACCCCACCGCCAGCCATCACCCATGGCCGGGGCGTTATCATCACCGCATTATTCTCACTCCTGAGGTACCCTGCAGCAATGCTCCGACGACAGCGCCTGCTGCCCCTGCTCGGGGGCTGATTTATGGGCCTGGGGGCGAGCTTAATTCAGCGCCGCTGCACCCGAGTCAGCGCCGCTGAGCAGCACGGGCACGGCGGCAGCGCGCTGGGAATGATGCAGTTCCTACCCTTCACCCTTTATTTGTATTTTCTGTCCTGCACGATATATATCAGCCATCGCCGGCGCTGGAGTGCTGCTTCACAGTCTATTATAAAATGGCTCGGTGCAAAAGATGCATATAAATAAGAGGAGCCGTGAAGTGTTCCTCAGCCGCTGATGCAGGCAGCGATCGCGGCCGTGATTTATGGCAGCTGCTCGGTGCTGCTCCCTGACATAAATCTCGCCCTTCCTTCACGTGGGTGAGGCCGGGGAGAGGCAGCGGGGGCACCCCCAGCACCCATGGGTGCGCACCCCGGGGCAGGGCCGGGCCGGGCCCAGCCATCCCCAGAGGTTTGGCTCTGCCTGATTCTCGCTGCTGGGCCTGGGTTGGGGGGGGGGAAATTTGGGGCCGTATCCAAAACCATCCCCACACAGCTGGGGCTGATTCGCTTCTTTGGGGTGTGTTTTGGGTTAGGTGTCGCAGTCGGGGTTGTTACAGTGTCCTGTGAAGCCGATAGAGGCAGGACTTTAACATCTCTAGTGCTGCCGGGCCCTGCTGTGGCCGGGTCCGGCTCCTCCTCGCTCCTCTTTCCTCAGCAGCTGAGGGCAGCGATGGCAAAGCCAACGCCATGAACCACGGCCTGCGCTGCCTGACACGGTCCAGGGCCGTCTGCCCTGAGTGTCAGATACCATCAGGAGCCGGGGCAGCTGGAGAAGAGAATATTAACTCTAAAAAACCAAGAAGCGGCCCAAATCTGCAGCCCAGCGGGGCCTGCTGCCAGCGGAGCAGCTTTCTCGGTTTGCTCTCCTGGTGGAGGGTGGAGCAGCCGAGGGCAGAGCCGTGGGTTTCTTCCCCCGCTGCCCCCAGCTCCGGGCACCAGCCACAGCCCCCCCCCAGCTCCCCTGTGCCACCCCACACTGGTCCCCCTGCAGCACCCAAGGGTGCCTGGCTGCTCCCGTCACCCCACTGGCGATGCCAACGGGATGCACCCAGCGCTGCCAAAACCTCATCCCGGGGTTTTAGGAGGTCATGGGGCACCTCACAACTGCACCGAGTGCCATCAGTGCCAGCACAGCTCCCTCCTCGTGCCCCGGCTCTGCCCCAGCCCGAGCTGCCGGGGGGACTCGAGCTGCCTGGCTTCAGGGCCGGCCCTCCCCCCGCACGCTCTCCCTCTGCACATTTCTACAGCAACGTCGTTTACTTGGTTAAATAACTCATTTATCTTTTTATACTCTCTGCAGATCATAATACACCCACTCTGACAATACCGCACACCAAAGACCTAATTTTAGAAATGGTGTTTATAAGTAATCAGTTTGAAATATTGGAGCAGTCGTATGATGTTTTTTTTTTTCTTTTTTTTTTTTTTTTTTCTGAAATACTGACGTTTGCAAGAAAGCTGCTCATAAGGAAAATTCTGATTATAACAACTCATTTAGAATAAATCAGTTTGAAATGGTTTATATAACGCGGCGGTATGCGCTGCGCACGAGCATCCAAGTTTCTGTGTTTTTCCTTTCAGTAAGATGAGATTAAATGAAACCCCAAATGCAAGTGGTTTGGGGCACCTTTTTTTTTTTTTTCTTTCTTTTCTCAAAGCAGAGGAAATGCAGCTTCTCAGCAATTTTATGGCCAATTTGGTTGGGAAAAAAAAAAGAGAAAAAAAAAGACAAAAACGACAGCGAGCAGAATTACCTCCCTGTCAGCCCACGCTGCTGCTGCTGCTCACCCCGCTGCCTCGGTCACCTCGCTGGTGTGGGGGTCTCAGCTCGCCCCCAGCTGCACTTTCCTTGCCTGTCCCGATGCTCAGGCCACCGTGCCAAAGCATCCTCCGTGCCCATGCTGGGTACAACGGCACCGTGCACCCCAGCACCCCGCTCAGCAGGGACCAGTGCACCAGGGTGTTTTGTGCTCTGCCACCCCCCAGCCCATTTTTGTTGCCCCCTTTTTACCTGCTCATGGCTTCGAGCTTGCTGAATGTCTTCTTCCTTTACGAGCAGGCACCAAGTGCTCCACAGAGGGAAGGGGCCTCGTGTTCTGGCTGACACCGCATCCTTCTGGACCCCAGCCCTTGATGCTGACCAAGGGCCGGATCCGGCTGTGGGGCTGCGGGTGGGATTTAAAGCACAAAAAACAAAGAGAGAGCGGCCGAGGGGGAGCGTGTGGTGCATGGGGGGGCACCAAACCCAAAGCCCAATAACCCACTGTCCAGCCTGGTGAGGTGCGGGTAGGACCCACGAAAACCCCAAATGCTGGGAGAACCGCTCGAGTGACAGAGGTGGCATCGCGTGGTCCTGCCTCTTCCACACCCCAAAGCTGAGCCTGCTCCCTTCTTCCCCCCATCACACCCAGCTGGGGGTCCCGCAGCTCGTGGGGAGCCCGTGCTGCCCCTGAGTCCCCAGAAACTCCTTGCATCGTGCACCAGGGACCCATCCCGGGGCCATGGGATGCCCGCCAGCACTTTCCTTGTCGATACGAGGCATTTATGGGATCACCCCTGTACCATGCAGCCCCTCCTGCCAGTACCGGTAACATCCATCGCCAATTAGTGACCTCCAGAAAAGAAAGAAAGCAGAGCAAAGAAAGGCTTTTAATTGCAATTTACTTTATTATTTTGTAAATGTGAATTTTACAAAGCGTTTTACAATTAATGATCACGTTTTTGTTTGTTTGTTTGTTTTTTTATGGATTTTTCATCATATGAAAACAGCTATGAGCACAGTTTCAACTGGGGGGGGGTCCTTAATCCTTTTTTTTTTTTTTTTAGTTACTGATATATCGTGTCAGCCATGGCTACAAAATAACAGTCTTAACTATACAGAGTAAGAGCACATAAATACTAGTGAATAATGCACGATAAAAAAAAAAAAAAAGCTAGCATCTTTCGTGGCTGAGACAGCTGAGAAACATAATTCAGTGGTACTGTGAGATTTTTCTTACAGCACAGAAAGTATTTTTAACAGTCATGAATTACAGTACTACTTAATACCCTATGAAGACGCTTTAAAAACAACCTTGTACTTTTAAGTCCTTTTTCCCAAACATCCTGTCCAAAGGATTAATGTTCTATTTGAATCAAGTGCCATCCAAATGTTCAAGTCAAAAATATTTTATACATTTATACTTAGTTGTTTATTTATTTATTTATTTATTTATTTATTTTTTTGTCTGCTAAAAATAGTATTGCAAGTTTTGGCTTTTATTTTGACATAAAAATCACAATGGTGTGCAAAACGCTTACAGTGGAAGAAACTCGTCAGAACACTTGGAGGTTTTCCCAATTCGAGCGCGCTCGACTTCGCGGATCCAGTTTGTCGGCTGTTGGGGCACTTTCTGCTTGTTTTCTACAAAAACTCCCTCATTTCGAGAGCCACCTTACAGCAAGCCCCGGCTGTCTCGGGCAGGGTAATGCGCACGTTTGCAGCTTGCTCGCTGACAAAATGACAAATTTATACAGCAGGAACACTTTGAAACAGCAGTTGGAGCCCAAGACAGCTCTGAACTCTCAATTTTGTGTTTAGGATTTACTGCCGGCAGAGGCAAACAGGGCTTGTCTCTTAGTTTTCAGTTGGTTAATGGGCCATACACCCTTCTCCACTCGCAGCGAGTTATTTCCATAAAAATAAGCAATCGAACAAAACCTTAGCAGTAAAGCGGCCGAGGACGGGCGCCGCCAGTCCTTCGCTGAGCACCGTGCCCGCGACGCGGCGCTCGGAGGCGTGAAGCGGTGCGCGGCGAGCCCCCCGCCCGCGGGACCCCCATCCCGGGCACCCCACGAGCGGGCCCCTGCCCCGCCGTCATCAGTCCCCGTGCCCACCGGCACCGCAGCCACCGCGGGCATCGCCCCCGAGCATCACCCGAAGCATGAGGAGCGGGGCGGCGAGGCCGAAGGCCATGCAGCCCTTCGGCAAGCGGCGGCACAGGGGATGGCACGGGGGACACCGGGGGCACCCGGTGCCATGGGGGGCACGGGGCCAGCAGCCACGCGGAGCTCGTTAGGCTCACGCTGCGATTTCTTTAAAGGTGCTTGGTATAACTTTAGATATATAATATACATGTAATATTGCTAATAGTCAAGCATAGGAATAAAGGTGCAGACATACCATAAATACTGATGCTTCGATTTTACACTATCAGACCTAGATGAATGCAGTTTCCTATTCACATTATAAAGCAGCCCCAAGTTCTATAATTTAAGATAGTGTCGTAAACAAAGAGGAGGAAGGAGTCGGTCATGATCTGATTTTCTCAATTTGTTTTCCTTGGAAAAAAATGATCAAAAAATTCTAAGGCACTCAGGAAAGCCGCATACAATCGATGGACTGCTCTGTTCTCACGTTACATTCAGTATTTTAAAGGGGTTACTTTTTTTTTTTTGTTTTTCGGAAGAATACAATCATTATCCATATAACATTTTCAAACATATCATTAATCCTCCACACACAGGAAACATTAGTGCAAAATGCTTGCCCTCATCTACCAGATAAGGAAAAACCCAACGCCCTTCACATTTTAGAAGTTTGCCTTCCTAATAATAATAATTAATAAAACGAACAAACCCAAATCAGGAAAAAAAAAAAAGAAAGAAAGAAAAAAAAAGAAAGAAAGAAAGAAAGAACCCCAAAAATATACAGGAAGTTGTGCTAGGTATAAAAATATATATTTTCACTGTGCAACTCGACTCTCTTCAGATTCTCTGTCCTAAGCCATTCAAGTACTGCTGCCGCTGTCCCCCGGGGACGCCCGTCTGGGAGCTGGTTTGGTCCAGGACACCTTGAGCCGGCCGGGAGCCCCAAAGTGCCGAAGGGGAGGAGAACCCTTCCCGCTGCCCACCCGCTGCCCACGGCCGCGGGCGTTTCGTTTGACGTGGGTAAAGTGCAAACAGGGCCCGGGCTGTGCCCGTCCCGTGCCCCTGCGGCATCGCGCCCGGCTCCGCACGGGGCTGGGGGCACCGGAGGCAGAGAGGAGCCCGGCGTTCACTTGTCTGAGGGCAAAGAGCAGTGGAACGCACGAAGTGCCGGACAGCTTCGTTATCACGATGCAAAAAAAAAAAAACAGCTTCAAGTATCGAAGAAAACAAAACACGCGGCCAAAGGCTGGGTCGGCCTCTCACCCCTCCCCTTCCCTCACTCGAACACAAAGACAGAAGAAAACCCTGAGCAAAGCGCCGTCTGGATTCAGGAACCAAAGCAGGAAAGAAAAGAAGAACACAGCCACAGGAGCCTTCCAAAGTGACCAGTTGTGCACTTGTTCAGAGACCCACACTTAGTACAGGACACACTGTAAATGCCTTTAAAGCAGGCCTGTTAGTCACAGTAAAAATAAAAAAATATAATTAAAAAAAAAAAAAGCCATACTTGGCTTTCACACGGCTGCCCCCATCCTCAGCATCATCACGCACGAGCCTGGTGCCCGCAGGCACCCCGCATTTCCCCGTCCCAAGCCGGGGTGTATGGGGCCGGGCAGCGAGGCTGCGCCGAGCCGTGGCTTTGGGGACGATGGACTGAGATCCCTCGGGGGATGTCCCCCACGGCCGGGTGCTCTCTTGGATCCACCCTCACCCAGCTGGGTCCCCGCAGGCAGCCCAGCCCGGGGACAGCAGCTCTGAACCACAAGCGGGTGGATAAATCCCACAGGGCTTCTTCCCAGGAGGGCCTGTCCGGAGGACGAGCCAGAGGCCAAACGCCTCCTCCTCCCACCAACTTCATGGAGGGGCACAAAGCTAATTAAAAAAAAAAAAACAAAACACAAAACAACCCTTTTTGTACCCAATACACTGCAGCTAAAGACGGAAGAGCAGACTGCCGGCCCCAGCGAGGTCCCAGCCTACGGCAGCCACCAAGGGACGCGGCTTTGGCAGCCCCCCCATGGGGCGCCCAGCAAGGAGAAGGAGACAAGGAGCCGCTCGGGGCGGGAGAGCGAGAGGAACGAAACCCAGAACCCAGCCGCATCGAGAAACAACACCAAAGGAAAAAGGGCAGGGCTCAGCCTGCAGCCCACGCATCCTCCCTGCACGCACGCCGGGACGCGGGGGCAGCCCCCGCTCCCTGCGCCGGGTCCTTCGCCGACCTTCCACCGACAGAAGCGTTGAACAATTTCCCCCACCCTGTGCCACTTGGCTAGAGCCGTTCCGCGAGAGAAAAATCCTTGCCAGTCAAACCACTCGTACCCTAACACATCTTGCTTTCCTGTGAAGCGACGGTGAAACTCTCTTTTCAAGGAAAAGGTTAACGATGGCTTTACTTCTGAGCTGAGAAATGGATGGGGTGGTGATGGCGGGGGTGGTTGGGGGGTGTCTAGCTTTTCTCCTCCCCTTCTTAGAAAAAGAAAAATAAGGAAAAAAAAAAAAAAAAGGAAAAAGCTACAATCTTATAGACTAACCTCAGGAATATCAAAAAAGGAGCCCAATAGTTTTTTCTTTTTTTAAGTAGGTCGCCACAGACCTAGTCGTTTACAGTATAACGAATGCGATTATTTCCTTCATAAATTTTAAATACAAGCAGAATAAAAATCACATTTTTTTCAGGCAACAGTAGCAGTTCAGTAGGTAAGTGGCTTGATCACATTTTTGTTTTGTATTAGTAATGCATGCAAGCAGCTTTAGTATTACAGATCCCTTATAGGTCACAAAACGTTTGCTCTCTTTATAAAGTCCCTCCGTAAGTACCATCTTGTCTTCTCACCGGAGTTTCGGGCCGGCTGGAGGAGCCAGAACCTTGTTCAAAAGGTTGCGGAGTGCTTTGGGTATCCGATGCCATAGCATCTGTGGCAGCTGCCTCTTGTATAACAGAGCCAGCCCCTTCGGCATCCTCGCTCTGTTCAAAGGACTGGCTGGATCCATTGCTTAGATCTACGTTCACCGTGTTAGTTCTCAGAGCTACTATAGTTCCTGAATCGCTCCTCCTTTCTGCATAGATTCGCTGCTCAAAGACCTGAGCAGAGTTGGGCTGGAATTCGGGATCCAGGGGGACACTGTTTGTGGTGGAGCCCATGACCGTGCGGTACATCTCCATCCCCTCCGGCAGCATGGACTTAATCTTCGGGAGCCAGCGCTTGCGGACCCGGCGGGCGTTGGTGCACATATCGGCCGCTATAACATTCATCTCGCTTTCCTTAAAGCTCGGGGCAAAATTCTGACAATACACTGCAAAGACAGGGATACACACAGCTGAGGAGTCAGGGAAGCAACACCGTGAGGCCGAGCGACCGCAGCCTCGCCCGACCTGGACGCGCGCCGATCGCCAGCAGGTGGAGGAGCTCGGACCCGCAGAAAAGGGCTCCTCAGCTCCAGGGGCAGCCAGGAAGGGATGCAGTGGAAGGCAAAGAAACCCCAAAGGGACTGGAGGAAGGGGGGTGGAGAAAGACCAAGCACTCCCTGGGGATCTGGAGAGCCCCAGAGGCACCAAGCTCCTGACCACCGGCCCCGGCTGCCAGCAGGGAAAGGCGAGAGGAGAAATAGGTGCACAAGAGAGCAACAGAGGCTCCTAAAAACGAGCTCCATCAGTGGCTCTGAGAACGTGGTGGTGCACAGCTAATGGGGAGGGGTGAGCTCGGTGAGCCCAGCCCTGCTCTCCACGCGGGTCAGGCACCCGATGTTGTGGAGCAAGATCCAAGCACTGCCTTGACAAACAGCCATCGGTTACAGCTTGTGCACCGCCTGTTTCTAATACTTCCATTTTTATTCCTAAATCTTCCACCCTGCACACGACAGCGTGCTGTGGGCACTGTCACTGCACTACGAAGCCTTTCCAACCTCCAAAATGACCTACGAGCCTCAACAGGGAGCACAGCTTGGCTGAAACGCTGCCTGCCTGGGCTGCCGGGGGGCTCTCGGAGAGCTCCACGCACAGGCTCCAGGCAAGCACAAGCAGCATTTCCTAGTGATTCTCTCTTTATGTACCGAACATCTGCTGGTTTATCCTTTTCCTCCATGTGCTGCAAATCTCAGAGGGTGGCTGGAAGGCCCCTGGAGTTCAGCAGCAGAGCAACAATCAGGGAGAGGAAAAGATTTATCTTCCAAATCTCTCTCTCTCTCAAAAAAAAAAAAAAAAAGCTTAGAGTTTCATTTTCCAGCACAATATTTACATAAAGATTTACTATCCAGAATCCAGCGAGGGTGAGAGAACATTTGCTTTCCACCATATATCAAGCACACGCTGGACAGGCTCCGCCGTGCCGACCGTCAGCGCTGCCCGCGGCACCGCGCTGCTCCGGCTCCAGCCAGCGCCGTGTCGGCAGCGCCCCGGCACGCAGGGGGAGCTCAGCAGCCACGATTAACCACGGGTTTCTGAAGCCTGCTGCAGAAAACTGAACCACCTGGGTGCCAGTAACACAACCCTCTTTTCTCAGCACTGGCTGCTGGGCACAAGCTCGCCAAGCGAAGGGCACTCCGTCAGGTACCCCTCACTGGCTCCGAAGTCAGGGTGTAAGCGGTGACACACGGGGACCTTACCTGCAGGACAGGGGAAGGGGTGCTCGTTTTGAACAGCTGAATTTTTCGGGCCCCAGCTCTAAGGCAGCCCAGCTGCCCTATGGACAGACCTGCTGAGCCACACGGCACGATGCAGGGCTTTGCTTGGGGTTCAAATGTTAAAAACAAAAGCTAGTGCTGCTTTACGCAAACTTATAAAAAGGAAATTATTTGCAGCAGGGTTCTTTTCAGTCATTTTTTAAAAAAAAGTCTATAAAACATATTCTAAAACATATAAGCCAGGGCACGGAGACCTGGTCCTGCAGTATCAAGCTCCGCTTGATGCTAAAAGCTTGATTTTCATTTACTTCTTAGAGCACCCAGTAATTAACTGGGAAATTCGGGTTCTAACACATAGCAAAACAGTTAGGTAGCAATAATGCTTTCTGTTAAGATATTGCCAAATAAAAAAAAAAAAAAAATCAGAACAAAAAATGACATGAAAAATTAATTTCCCTGTAACCTAATTTCACCATTAAGCTCCCCCTGTAACGCAACAGAGCGGGCCTTCCCTGCTTGGGTTTCGGCTTTGCTCCCGGCATGCTGCTCCAACACAGCAGCAGCAAACCTCTCTCCTTACATTTCACTGCGTTAAGGACCCTGCTGTCCAGGGGCTTCCTGCTAGGGTCGCTGGTGGAGGACCGGATTCCAGTTCCGCAGCTATTGGCAAGTGTGTTCCTGCAAGAAAGGCAAAGGAAGATCCTTACACCGGGGACTCCGAGCCCAGCAGCCGTCTGAAGCCCCGCACAAAGACACCAGCCTCTTCTGCTTAGTTTGGGCAGAGGGCACTGAGCTCCGAGATTTTAAGGCACAGAACTGGAAAATTTGGTGTTGAGGCTCAGGCATGGCTGAGAAACAGCAGAGAAATAAGCGTGGCATACACAGAGCATGGTGTGCTCACACATCATCTGCTAATGTAGTTAAACCACCAGAAAATAAACCGAGTCCCTGGGGGGAGCACGGGCTGCGGGAGGACATACCGATCAAAGAACGTGGCCAGAAGACGTCTCAGGAGGACCTTGTGTTTGACACCGGCACATAAGTGGCAATTCATCAGCTGCCCCCGCGTGATGTAAACACCTGAGCCTGGAAGAGAGGGAGAATTCAAAGTTAAGCCCTCGTGCTGCTGACAGGGGCCGCCTTCGACCCGGGATTTCTGCTTTGCTGCTCGGTCACGATCCCGACACAGCCCAGAGGGGAGCGTGCAGCCAGCAGGGGCATGGGCAAGGCTGGCGGGGCCGCTATTACAGCCCCTCGGGGTCTTGGCAAGAGCCAGGTAGTGGCATTCCCAATTTTAGCCACGCAGGAAGGAGGTCTGTGGAAGTCAAATGAGTGGAATTTTTTTTTCTCTCTCTTTTTCTTTTTTCTTTTTTTTTCTTTTTCCAAAGACACACAGTACAAGGCTTTATCCTGTGATACCATACACACAACCAATTATCTATTTTCTTCTGAAGGAAGAAAACCCCAAACCGTTTGGCTTTTTCTTCTCTCCAGTGAAAGATCGAAGAACACAACTAAACTGAAAACAACAAAAAACCCACCTAGCACAGAAAGCAGCGCTCATTACGCTACAGATCTGACCGTTTCCAAAAATCCCAGCCCCTAACCTCTTGATACTTCTGGCGAGCTGGGAATTTTTGCTTCTAATGCCCAGAACTGCTGACTTTGAAACACACGGGCTTTAGGGATGTTCTCCAGCAGCTGGAGGAGCCCTGCCAAAGCGGCTTTAGCCGTGCAGAGGTTTGGCAGCAGACCCCGCAGGTTCCTTCCCCTTCCCTACAGAGTGCCCAAAGGACAGGAGCACGCAGGCAGGGGGGAGCTGGGGCTTGGGCTTGCTTTTAATTAGGGTTAAATAACAGGCGATAGCGGGATCCAAAACACCCTACACTCCCGAGACATAAAAACATCTACCGGAGGAATAAAATTACCTCCTGGATTTCCAGCACAGCCTTCAGATTATTGTCCTTAATCTGCGGGATGAAGGCAGAGCTGCTGGGGGGTGGCTGTGCTGGGGGGGAAGGCAGCACCCCCGGGCTTGGGGGGGGCCCCGAATTTGCTGCTGCATGGGGCAGTGTGCCCACCGAGCCCGGGGTTGCCAGAGGTTTTCCTGACCTTTGTGGAAAAAAGCTTGCAGAAGGCAAGCGAGCACCAGCACGGGTTTCAGAGCGGCTCCGCGCACTGCATCTGCCCGTCGGATTTACTGTGAGCATCGCGAGGCTGGTTTAAGACCCTCTCAGAGAAAGCTGCTGAAGTTTGCAGAATCAGCGATGGCACGAAAAAGCCGAGACAAAGGAAAATGCTCGGAACGGAGAGTTTACGTGAGCCCCGGGTCCGGCCCCCCCGGCTTGGGGACAGCAATTAGCCATCTCGCCTTTCTGCCCCCAGTAGCAGTATTTTAACACATAAGCCAGAACGCCAGCCGCTACCAAGGGTAACTTCACTTTAATAAATAAAAAATAACCCGGGCAGCTACTATCAGTTAGAGATATTAATCTAGGATTTTTTTTTTCCAGATTGAAAAATGTAAATCAAGCAGAGCTGCCTCGAGCCAATTTGCAGCTCGCACTGTGAAAATAACCTGCACCACTTGATGTTTTTAAGAAGTCTCAGAGAAAATGTAAATGGGTACAAAATGAATATTCCAGATACAAAATAAATACCGGTGGCTTTGTGCTGCGTTGTGCTGAGTGCTTTTCGCTCCTGCCTGCCCCTGCAAACCCACCGTTGATCAGGCAGGAGCCGTTCTGGGCAATCCCTGAAATGAAGATTCCCTCTGCAAACTGATGACAAAACCCTGCTACTCACCCAGAGATAAGAGGCCAGAAAGGACTGCGGGTTTGGATTGATTTTGCTCCCATGCCTCCTTTTTACAGCGAGGGCTTTGCAGGTGTAAATGAGGCTGCAGGTAAGGGACGTGGCACACAGGTCACCTCACCTACACAGCTACACGGGGGGAAAACAGGCAACTGCCATGCCATGGGGGCAGCAAAAGGGATCTGGGGCAGCTTCCTGAAGCTCTTCAGACCAGATTCGATCCAGACAGCGCAGCACAGCCGCTCTGCCCTGCCCTGTGTCCAGCCCTGCAGCACCGGGACCCCCGCAAGCACCACCTCCCACCCCAAAGCCCCTACGTCCCTCACAGAGCAGCCCTGAATTCTCCAGGGACGGTAAATTGCCCCCAAACCGAAAAGAAAGATGCATGAAAGGACCGAGCAAAATTGATTCCTTCTCCTCCTTCCAACCGCAGCGTATGACAGCTTAAAACATCCCCCATTTAAAAAAAAAAAAACTTCGACAGGTTTTTCAAAGCTTGTTCACTGACACAAATTTAATTTCTATTGCTTTGTAAATCTTATAGTGTGATGATTTTTTTTTTTTTATAAGATCTGTGCATCTAAATCAAAATACAATTGCAATGCAGCCCACACCAATCAGGAAGAACACAAGCTGCAGAATTCAATTAAAATGCTAAATTAATTCAATTGAATAAATCCTGTTAATGACACATTTTTCTATCAGCAAATTAAAGGAAACTTAGAACTTTTTTTTTTTTAAAAAAAAAAGATGATTGGTGATGAATAATCCAGAAAGACACTGCAAGGGCACACAAAGCACACGGCTCCAGCAATGGTGCGAGATGAAGAACGCATTTCAAGAAGGAAAGTATCAGTGATCGCCAGCGATTGCCAAGCCAAGAAAAGTTCCCCCCCTTATTACCTGCAACGAGCTCGAGTTTCTCTCCAGGATCTCCCTCCGAGTAGAGTTTTGGGTGGCAGCGGTATCCGATTTGACTGATAAGACTGGCTGGGAGAGCAACTAAATCCCGGCGTATGAGGACACAGGAGCGGTTCTCCAGCGGGATCTGCTCTGGCTTTTCTTGAGCAACTTCAAAATTAAAAGGGAAAGACATGAACACGGATTATTAGGCAGGCACAACGTTAAGAGAAGGTCAGGTTTCAGCTTTTCAGGAAGCTCCTGCAGCCACCCCTCCCTCCAGCAGCCGCTGCCTCGGGTCTGCAGCCCCACGTGGAGGCTCACCGGGCTCTCCACGGGCAGCAGCAGCCTCGCAGTTGTGCCTGGATGCTGCGAGAGGGACTCCTGGAGCCTAATTACACTTTAACTGGTTCTAGGTTAATCATTTATGAAAGTGGGCAGCTCTGCACATCTGCCATCAGTCTGGAAATGAAGCATGCAGCGCCGGCTTCCCTGAGCACTCGCAGAAGAACAAGCTGGCAATCCAACCGCGGTCTCTAACACAGGCACTGAACTGCTCGGATTTGATAAATATCTACCTCAGAACCCTAAATACTTCTTATGTTTTCCCTGCTGAAGTTACGGTCAGATTTTGCAGGCACACACAGCCCCAGGGACAGTCACCAGCTCACCTCCCTCGCCACGACAAGCGTGACCCCAACCGAGAGACCAAAAATTGTGTTGAGCTGCGGCTGCAGGACCCAGTTACATGACTGCAATTTCCCTGCTGCATCTCCAGAGCCCACCAGCAAACATTGATGCTGGAAACCCCACAAAAATGCTTAAAAGCACAAATCCCAGCAGGATAGGGCTGGCATGAGTGTACAGGGACTGCAGATGCACCGGGACAGGCCGGGAGCAGCTACAGCTCCTGGGTTTCACCCCAGCTGTGCAGCGATCCGTCCCTCCTCCCCAGGAAGGGCTGATAACGTGGCAAGTGCCATGCATGAAATCAAGTCCAGCTCTACGCTGTGATACCCGTGAACACCGATAAAAGAAAGACCAGCAATTAGACTTTCCAAACTCGAGACCTTCCCTCCTCAGGAGTCGACGCGCTCCGCAGCCGCGATGCCCTGCGGGCCGTGCTTCCTCTCTGCAGATAAACCGGCCGGTTTTGCAGACCTGTTGCTGCAGTAGCAGCACAAAGGGTCAGTGTTCCAGCTGGGACGTGCCCGCCGTATCCAGTTGCTCCCTGCCACCACCGCAGGGGCTGGACCCGTCGGTGTCCTCCCCGCAGCACCGAGACCCTGCGCCGGGGCTGCGAGGGGCGCACGGCTCGTCCTTGTGTGGGTTAGGACCGATGGCAGCAGCACAACCCCATGTGCACACCCTCAAGCCCATGCCCCTGCCATCTCAGCCCTGTTATTCACACAAAGTGGCCGTGCTCCGTCCTGCTGCAGTCCAGGTTTAGGGCAGGAGACCTGAGGGACCTGTGCGCCCCGATGGTGATGGGCAGAGCGCGTCCCGTTAGGCACAGCGCAAATAAACCCAAAGAGATGGGTGCCAAATATCCTATTTATACCAGGGAGAAGGAAAACAAAAGGCCAGCTCTGCTGTCCTTCAGACGTTTGGTTCTGGCAGAGCGTGCCCACAGAAGCACTACGGCAGCACAAAGGCCCCTGCGAAGCAAACACAAACGTGGAGGGGGAGAGGGACGAGCAGCTCCTGGGAGGCACCGCAGGAAGCTCCCGGCCAGCATCCCCTGAGTGCTTCTCTGCCGTGTACAAACCCAACCACATTCCTCCCAATTTCAGATGCCATCGACCGCACACGGCTCTCGTTCTGCCGAAAAGTCCCCAGGAGCCTTGGGATGTGCAAGGTCTTTAACAGCAGCAGTGGGAGAAAGGCGAACCGTGCTGCTGGGGTAAGCAGCTGCCAACAGCTTTCTGCCTTGCACGCACGACCCTGAAGCAGCAGGGTCACAAGGCAGAGGTGACAACGGGGCCATGGCTGTGCACATGGCTTGTGATAATTGCGGTAATTGTGATAAATGCTGAGAGGGAGAGCAATGCCCGCTCCGAGCCCCTCTGCACACACACGGCATCCACGCTGCCGAGCAGAAATCCACCACAAAACCCCACCACAATCAGAAGCAGGATGCTCTGCCCTATTTGCGTAAAACTGCAATTTAATACTTTATTTTTTTTAAACTAATGACTCAGGTAAGAATTCCCCGAGATATTTATCACCATCCACAAACTGTGCTGCTAAAGAGAAGCTGATACCGATGCTCAGGAAGGTTTCAGAGGCCTCCAGTGATTATTTTTTTTTTTGCAGGTATGAACTGCAGGTCTCCAGAGGAAGCAATTGCAATCAATACAAACACTTCAGAGCAGAAGGGACAGCCAGAAGGTCCTCACTACTTCTGAGCTAATACTTCTATAATTGAAAAAAAGAAAAAAAAAAGATAGAAGTCAGGCTTGGGACTGAAATAGCAACGGGTTGCTGCTGTGATCACACCGGGGCTCCTTCAGACGGCTGCGCTGGGTAAAACCTGCAGGGGCACTGCATGGTGTTGGCCATCCATCGTGGCACATGGGGGCTGAGGGGTTCCTTTCGCCCCACAGCACCCACCTGGTGGTGCTCTGCACCCCTGTGGCCCTGCCCTCCTCAGCCCGACCTGGCTGAAGACCTGGAGCTCCTCCACCGGCACACCTCCTCTGCCCCCCGTCGCAAGCAATCGCTCCGTATAAAACCAGGCTGGGGCACCACAGAGCCCAGCGTAGCAATAACAAGGCACGCAGGAGAGAACGAGTGCTGCATCAGCACTTTTCCTGGAGAAATTTCAAAGAATGCGGTGTCAAACCCGCTCCCTGAAAGAAAAGCAGCTTTTGAGGGAAGCAGCGGTGACACGCGGAAACCCGCACCGGGGAGAGCTGGTGGCAATCCTGCCTCGCGAGCACTCCTTGCTTTTGAAGTCAGCTCGTCTTAGACACATGGAGCCATGGAGAAGTTAACATTTCTTCTGCTGAAATCAAATATTTCTGAAAAACAACCCAAAATGTGATCTAACAAGACAAAGCGCGCCCGATCCACTATTACAACTCAGGGCACATCTCTCCTGCCGTCTACAAACCTCTCACTAAACAGGCGCACAAACCGTTTTTGGAATTCGTCTCGATTCAAGCATTAGCACAACCTCAATGCCCCCAAAGAAAAACGAGCAAAGATTGAGGGCTTTCAGCTCCCCCAGCCAGCAGATAGCCATCGCCGCGCACAGAACAGTTATGTAAAGCCACGGGACACAAGGGACACTTTGGTCCCATGTTCTCAAAGAAAGCAAGTCTGTTTGGCCTCTGTGCGCGGAAGAACAGGATAGTATTCGCTTCTAATTAATGTGTATCTTCAGAGGGCAGCAGCTCCTTCCCTTTCAATGCACGGGCAAACAATGTGAAGGATTGTGTGGGGCAGTTTTGTCCCCGACCACGAAAGCTGCCTGCCCGCGGCCTGCAGGAAATCGCTGCCGAGGGAGCAGCGCTGGCCGCACGTCGGACGCTGAGGGATTTTATTTTCCAAATCCACGTTTTTTCTGAAAGTTGTAGGGACGCTGCAGCTTGTCATGAGTGGGGTGGGGTGGGAAACGTGGTGAGGCTGCAGCAGGTGCCCAGGTTCTGCCTCGTACCATCCCTGCCACGTCCTGGGTCCTGAGTCCCTGCTTCCCACCTGCCTGCGCTCGCCTCTTGGCCGTTTGCTGACATAAACCACACCGGTGGGCAAGGAACAGCAACTTTGAGTTTAGGGATGGGAACCTGAGATACAGAACGACTGGAGCGATGAACCCTCACCAAAAGCTCACCAAAAACCAGATGACAGAGCCACAAGTCGCGACCCCACAACCACCACCATGTCCCCTCTATCCGCTTCTCACCAACACTTGGGTCATTTTCCCCTGTTCTCTCCTGAAGTTCCTTTCCAAACGGCGATGCTTTACCAACGTCCGTATCCCACAAGCCCATTTTCTCCCCAAAATACCCTGCCCAAAAATAGCAGCCCCTGGCACAGCAAGCCCTCGGGGAGCAGCTGCCCGGAGCCTGGTGCGCCTGCCCGCACGCGTGGGCTGGGTGTGCGATGCAGCCCCAGCCGGGACAGTTTACATTTTCCAAAGGGTACATTTCTAACAGCGTGCTAGAAGGCAGAGCTTTGATTTGTGACCTATTTATACAGGGAGGTAATCTGGAATTAGTATAGGAAAAATATTACTGGTTTATAAATACCCCTATCTTGCCTTGCTGCAGACCTCAGCCAGGAGTGAAACATCTGCCAGCCTAAAATTAAACATCTGTGCTTTACGGTGCGGAAACCGGGACCAGTTCACTGCCTAAAAAGGGCAGCGGCTGCCTGACCCCGGGGCTGGCCCTGTCCCCTGTCCCCAGCCTGGGGACGTGCTCCTGTGGCAGGGGGCAGGTTTCTCACCCTCACCAGCACCTCCGCGCCCACACCTCGCAGCCCCGAGAAGCCCCCATGCAAAGCCAGAGCAAAAGCACTCTGGCTAACACCCAGGGCATGCCCTTGGGAGCGTTTTGGTTCCTAAAAAATGCACAAACCCTTTGCTCGGGGCATCCTCCTGCCCACGGCACCGGTGTCCGACCAGTCCCCGCACCGCGCTGCTCCCGGCTGCTCCACGCGCCGGCTCTGCAGCTGCCACCAGCTCTACCTCATCCCGAGCGCAATTAGCTGGCTGCAAGATGTTAATGGGTTCCTCGCTACCGGCTGCGACTTCAAGTGTTGCAGCGTTTCTCCTCGTAGCTCGGTTTGGGATACTTCGCAGCCTGCGCCGGAGCCGCTCATTACAGATTCTGGGTTGTTTCTTGCCCTCTTTCCTTACTGTCAGGAATCAGAGGCCAGGAGAGAAAACTATTCTCTCAGCTAATTACCACGACTATCCTATAATGGCTATTTTAGATGAATTTTTAATGAAGTGTGCTCTTGTCAGTTCGGGATTTCATAACTTTCAAGTCCAGCCTTTCCATCCCAGCGATTTGCTGCATAAAGATTTCTTCTCCCCTGCAAAGGAGCGCTCGGCGAGCGGGAGGGAAGGGGGGACCCTCGCCTCGCGCAACCTCGCCGCTGCCTGTCAAAATCGAATTAAAGGCATCTGCTAAGCAGCAAGCTGACTGACAGGAACGCAGAAACCACGCCAAGCATCTGCAAGTCCTGCTGCAGCCCACTTCAGAGCAGGCCCACGGCGCTGTAATTAAGAAGGATAAAAATACTTTGCTTTTGTTTAATATTTTCCCCGAGTTGTGCATTCCTCTGATCAGATGCTAGGAGCCTCAGCAGCCTCCCCGGCGTCCTCCAGGCCTGTGTTCTCCAGGTCCAGACCAACGTACGGGATCAGGAGCCACTCAGCACGCCGTGCTTAAGGTGTGGACTCGTCCTGGCATTTATCTGCAGCCCCTTCTGCACGCCCTGTGCTTTTTCCTGTGCGTGCCACCGCTGCTGCACGCTCCCCGTCCCTGCGCGAGGCTCTCTCCTGCTCCCCCTTCCACCACCCTTTGCCAAGGTCGAGATGTGCTCGTCGTCGCCTCTTGGATCCCAGCCTCGGAGATCGTTTCTGAATGCAAAAAGGGGGCGAAGGAGAACAGATGAGAAAGCCCACGGGTGGGACTTGGTGCTGCCCCGGCCAGGCGTGGGCGAAACCCGGGGCAGAGGCCAGCGCCCGCACCCAGCACCACGGGCCCAGCGCCGCCGCTGCTGGGTGGGGAGAAAGTACAGAAAAAGGGGAAAAAAAAAAATCTCTGAAATTCAGGGCTTAAGCTGCTGTGCTCTTCTCTGGCTTTGTTTTTGTTTTTACAAATGGGGCTCCTGGAAACCTTGGCAATCTGTTTTAAGCGGCTCCCCCCTCCCCCAGGCCTTTGTGAGGCTGCGGGCTCTACATGCCAGCAGCAGGATTAGCTGGCTCGCTCTCTTCCATCTTACGGTGTTGTTATTCTGCACCTTTTGAGGGTACAGTTTATCCCGAGTAATTAAAACACAGTTAGCTGTACAAGTCCCAACCATAATGGAATAGCTTAGATTTTTTTTTTTGCTTTAATCTCTTTTTTGTGTGCCCTGTTTTCCAGGAAGCCTGATACTATAGCTGGCTTCTTTAAAACAGGAAACTCCCTTGAAATGTGCTGGTGCGGAAGAGATATTTTAGCAGAAACATAGGATGCTGCAGCCTCGCCGGGGCTGCTCGGCGCGGGGCAGAGCCACGGCCGGGGCGCTGCCCACCTCGTGCCAGCTCCTAGCGCATCCAAGCGGTCCCAGGCTTCTCCCTGCAGGAGCCAGGCAGGAAAACCTTCCTTCCCCGGGACGACCAGCTCCCACGTGAGGGCTGGAAGGCTGAAACGCTGCCAGCGACGCCCAAGCAAGCTGCTGGCCTTTGCAGTTCTCCAGCTGGAAGCACGCTGGTGGCGCGGCAGCGAGAATCGGGCACCATCGCCCGCCTGGGTAATAGCTGCCTCCTGCTCCATCCCGCGGCTTTGTCCTGCCACAGCCTCCTGGCGTCCTGCAGAATTGGTTTTGTTCTGCTGCTATATAAACTGGCCCCACGACAGAGAAAGGCAAACACAGTGTACAAGGCTATAATCCCATTTCTCTGAAGAATAATGCTCCGAGCGCTCGGCGCTGAGGACAAGCCCATATTACTCGCTGCGTGCTCTACAGTGGGAAAACACAAAACAAAATAAAAACAAAACCAGCGTGCAGGAAAACAGCCTTAATTCTCTTCGGCTCGACACCAGCGCTGGAGTGCTGGCTGCTGGCACAGCCCCGTGCCCGGCGGGCACCCGGCTGCAGGACATCCCGTCCCCATCTGCCCGGCACGGGTGGTGACAGTGCTCAGAGCGCGGCGCAGAAAGCAGAGAGGCTTCAGAGGCTCGTTTTCTCAGCAGATAGTTCTAATCTTGAAATAGCATCACTGCTACTTGCATGCCTTCCCCCTGTCGCATAGGGTTTAGGAATTATTGCTTGTCTGTTTGCTGCCTGGCAGGCGGATGGGGCTGAGGGAAGTTCGGGCTCCTGCTCTTTGGGATGGGGTGGGACATTGCCAAGCCTCAGCACCAGGAGAAGCAGGCTTTGGGCAGGGGAAAAGGTGGCGTTTGTCAAATCTTCTCCCTTGCTTAAGAATCAAACCAAACGGCTTTGAGGAAAGCATGCCAGCTCCTCAACAAACGAGTTAAATATTTGCAAAATTAGCCCAGCAATCTCAGCAAAGCAGCGGCACGCAGAGGCAGCCCAAGGCTCGGGGCCACCAGACCTGGAGGCTCGTTCAGCCCGCAGAGACGGCCCTGGAAGCACGCACAGACCCGAGCCACCACCTCCAGCACCCCCCAATCCCACACCCCCCAGCCCTGCACCATGCCCGGGCAGCAGGACCGCCAGCCTCACCCAGCCCGAGGGCAAAGAGAGGGATTCCAGTTAGTTATGGGCACAGCGGTTCTAAGACAGAAATAAAACGTTATCAATTTGCCTTTCCCTGCTCGGCTACAATGCACCAGGCTGCTCTGGCACAGGAAATGGGTGCTACTGCAAGCAGGGGGGGGGAGCAGAGCCTCCCTGCTCGCCTTTCTGCAGATATCCCTAACGAGCATCTTCTGTGAAGATGATTTATTCGATGACGTTCGGAGGAAGGCAGAAGAACACGCTCACCACTTATTTCAAAGGGCCAGGAGGGAAGGAGGCTGCCTCGGGATGATGCTGCCCTCCACGGGTGACCCTCAGGGTGCCCCACGGGTGCCCCACAGCACAGGGATCGGCCGTGGGGACAGGTGCCCCACTGCGCGGCGCTCGCCAACGACGGCCTGCTTGGTGGCTGACGAGCCCATTTTGGGTGACGTAGCCTCTGACCTAAAGTGTCCCAGCTGGGGACACGGCACGTGAGCGGTGGCACCGGGGGACCTGCCCACGCCGTACCAGGACAGAGGCTTCTGAGTGCAGATGTCCCCAGCACTGCAGGCACTGCAACGCACGTGAACGAGCGAAGTGCCCGAAGCCAACAGCCCGAAAACAGCCCCCAACCACCTGCACTGCCCGGAGAAGGACCGAGAAAAAACTTGGGGAGAGCAGAAAACCAAAGGATGGAGACGGTTCGTTACCAGAGTAGCCTCCCGAGGACTTGATGTACATCTGCCCGTACTGCTCCTCCACCATGGTGTCGTACGCCTCGTCGTCTTCCTCGTCCTCCTCGTTGTGGTAGGACGTGGGGCTGTCGGTGGTGGGAATGCTGCTGGCGCCGGGGCTGGTCCGCTCCCCCTGCGAGTACTGCACCTGCTGCACGTTGGGCAGGAGGGTGGCCAGGTTGGGCACCCCGTAATAGGAGACCCGGGACAGCTTCAGGGGGCCGGCGGTGGGGCCACCGCCTCCCGAGCCGTCCCGGGTGGCCGCCTCGAGGGGCCGCTTGGCTGCCAAGCCGGGCACGGCGGCCGCCTGCAGCTCCAGGTTCTCGTGCTTGACGCGGGTGAGGAGCGGGATGGGCATGGAGGGGGACATGACGTAGGGCGCCGAGGCCGACTGCAGCTGGTTGCAGGGGCTCTGCGGCTCCGAGCTGGGGTCTTCGATCATGGCGGTCTGAGAGTCACAGTGGGGAGAGCTCACCTTGAACATCAAGTCTGTCCCTTTCTCCACGATGTGCTGGATCTGCAGGAAGCCCGCCGTGTACATCACCACCAGCTGCTCGCTCGCGGCCATGGTGAGCTTGCCGGTGTAGCAAAAGGAGAGGATCTGCTGGAAGCAAGCGGGGGGCACCGTCCCCGGCAGCTCGAAGGCGTTTTTGCTGTTCCCACTGAACAAGTCTCGGAAGTAGAGGCTGCTGGCGGCCAGCACCGCCCGGTGAGCCTTGAAGGCTTGGCCTTTCACCACGATGGAGACATCGCAGTACAGCCCCAGCAGCCGCTGCTCGTTCAGGCAGCCCAGCACGGTGTTCCCGAAGTTGGGAATCTCTATGTGCAACATCTGCGACATGGCTCAGGATCAGCTGGAGCTCCTCAGACATTCAATGCAGGGATATCCAAAGTAGGGCACATCTGAAAAAGGGAGAAGGCAGGGAGAAAGGAACAGCGTTTTTAGACAGTTCACCGGCACACGCAGCAGCAGAGGAACCAGCCTCGCCGCACATCAAAGGCTCCGAACTCAGCTCAGAGCCAATGCAGAGAAGCAATTGCTTATAAAATCACTTATCGATGTTTCTAAACAACGCTGAAAATGCTATTGGTGGATGGCAAGGGATATTCCAAAATTCAAATATTTTCTTAAAGTTGTGGTCTGTTTAAATAAACACCGCTGATTTATTCCCCCCGGGGTTTACTTTATGCAGGAAAATCTGAACCGTAATGGGAGAGGAGAGAACAGTAAAGCACACGTAAAACAGACAGACCTTGGGCAGCATTATATAAGAAACACAACAACAACCACCGGCGATGCTGAAACTACAGAAAAGATATTTATAAAAGCAACGTGCCATTTTGCCTGAAATAAATACAGGATTCTGTCGGGAGCAACAGCTCCCATGAAAAAAGCACTCCACAAAGCGACCTTCCCGTTTGCACCAGAAAGAGGAAGCCTTTCGACAGCCAAACCCCTTCCCGACAGAATCATCCCGAACAAAACGGCTCTTAGCTAAAATTTGGGCAGATGCCCCAGCCCCAGCCGGGTGCTGCCCAGAGGCCGCTGGACCCTCCAACACGTGCCCTAGGTTTGGGGGTCCCTGGCACAGCCCGGAGCAGCCCCCCCCTCTTTTTTTCTGTCCCCCCACGCCGGTACCTTCCTGCGGCGGGGGCAATTCCGCCTCTCACATCCCAGGGGAAGGCTCGGCTGAACGTGGAGCCGGTGCGCGAGCCCCGCGCGACGCCGAGGAGGTTAATTTTAGTGCATTCTGGGCACTAAAACTCCGGCGAAGCAAATCACTGCGTATTCAGCGGCACGCAGCCATAGCCCAGGACCCCCCCACCCCGGCCACCCCCCCCGCGAGCTCCGTGCCACAGTCCAGGAGATTTAAAATCCCCCCCCCCCAGCCTTCAACGCGGATGAAAAGAAAAACTACGTTTAACTAGTGCCGAAAGATCACAAGAACATCATTAAAAATAATCATGATAATAAAAAAAAAGAAGTTCATCAGAGAAGGATTAAAAAAATAAATAAATCATGTTCCGAAAAGAGAATAACCCACAAAGAGCTGCTCTGTTCCCAGTGCTGGGGAAGGAAAAAAAAAAAAAAGGAAAAAAAAAAAAAAAGAGTCCTATCTGCAAGGCCACGGGGTAACAGGAAGAAAAGGGAACGCGCTCAGAGCCAATTTAATTGTATCTGCATGGTTTAAAAAAAAAAAATTCTTCCGAGCGAGGAACTTCTCGGACCCCTCGCCGCCTGCGCGGGCACGTACCTTACAGACCGCACATCCAGCGCCCGCCGGAGGGTCCCCGGTCCCTCCTTATCGCCCCGTCGGCTGCGCTCTGTGCGGCGACGGCGATGGCTCAGGGGGGAAAAAAATAGTATCAGCCCCTCCGTTTGTATCTGCTGGAGCTCAAGCTTTTACCAAGTCAAATCTCCACGGCAGTGCACAGCATCTAAATGAATAGGCCGGATGCAGATTAACATTCAGGCTGCTCTCTGCAATGAATAGAGCCCTTTGATTAGGGACCTGAAGTAAATGCCAGTTTCAAACCGAAGCTTTAAAAACAGAGAAATATCAGTGCCAGAGGAATGCTCTCAGTGTTGGTACAAGACAGACTTTTGATGAGTCACTGCAATGCAAACAAAGATGGCAGAAATACTGTACTGTATGCTGATGAAATGCTTAGTGGTGCCACGGCAACTGAGACAGGTTTTAAATTTATAGTGCAGTTTTGCATATGAATTACGCTGTAAACTGCCTCCCCTGCCATCTAGTACATCCAGAGTGTCAAAGCATTTAAACTATTCCAAACAGTCTGCAGCGCTGGCACTGCTGCTGGTAACTCCTCGGGCTTGGGGAAGGGGCGGCGAGCACAGCAGCCCGCAGCCCAGCACCCCCATCCCGCACCCCAGCACCCCCACCCCGCACCCCAGTGCCCCAAAATCCTGCCCTGAGCCCCGGCATCCCCCTGCCGCCACCCCAAAGGGGTGCGGGAATGCCCAGGTCAGCACAAAATAAAGAAATAAAGGTGCTCTGTGGGCAGCCACAGGCATGGCCCACCTCCCGCCAGCCCCCCCCCCTCCCCGAACATACAAGAAAGCCTTTCAAATGCAGGAAAAATGTTTACCCCTTGGGGAAAGCTTCTTTCAGTCTGTGGCTGAATCCACTAAAAGCAAATCCATTTGCTTAAGTAATGAAATCCTAGTCACATTGTCTCCTGGATTCAGATTTTAAATTACCTTCGCATTTATTGAGCATGTTTGGTGCTATTTTCTGGGAAAGAGGGTGGGGCCTTACTTTGCTTACTTATCTCTTGCCCAGAGCGTTTTTATTTCAATTATTGCTCTAGGATTTGTTTCAATGGCTCTGCTCAGATGGTCACACGCAGTTCGAATTTAAGAGATTAAAGATCCAGCCACCCTTAGACAAGGACGACAGGGGAGAGTGCAGACACGGTCTGTGGCACCCCATCTTGGTCCTTCCCCAGATTTTTGGCCCATATCTCCACTTTGCTGCCCTGGCACCTGCCTGGTGCACCGAGCTGTGCCCCCCAGGACCACAGCGAGCTGCCCCCGTCCCCATCTGGGTGCCTGCCCTCAAACAGGGTGGCCCCCAGCACCGCCACTGCCCGGCAGAGCTCCCAGATCGGCCCAGGTCCCCTCTGCCTCTTGCTGATGAGGGAAATAAAAGCACAAAGAGGTGACTGAGGCGACCACACATCTCCACGAGAAGGTTGGAGAAGACACCGCAATGGCCAAGCCCACAGCCCTCCTCCAACCACGACGCTGCCAGCTTGTCCAAAAAGTCATGGAGCCTCCCCCAGCAAACATGGGTTGCTCTAGATCTGTAAAAATTCCTGAATTTTTACGTGGGTTTTATGCTTTCTGCTTTCATCACATCAGCCGGGGTGACAGGAGGGGACACAGAGCAAAGGTGGCCTTGTCCCCGTCCAGCCTCACCTCAGAGCGGCACCCATGGGTCCCCAGGCCGTGGGCAGGCCCCAGGGCTTGGGCAGGCCGTGCTTTGGGGTTTTAAGTTGAAAACTGACATTTAAGTGAGGGATCCTTGCTGGCAGCTTGGGACAAATGTCCCCTATGGGGTGCAAGTCCCTGCTCCCCCACCAGTCCCCCCCAGTCCACGCCGGCCCCATAGCAAGCCTCCTTCTGAGGGCAGGCCTCCATGGGGAGGCTTGCTTAGGGGGGTCAGCCCTGCTGGCACAGAACGAGGTAACTTAAAACAGGTAAGAATTATTACCATTGCTTAGAAGATGCTCTACGAACAGGTCAGACGTGCCAGGAGGCACCCACAGCTCAAAAATAACCAAAATTGCACTGGTTTGGGTTATGTCTGAGCCAGTGAGGCAACAAAACTACTGCCCCAGCCTAGCAAATTATTGACAGATTTCATTTTAATCTTGCCACGAAGCATCAGATTTTAAAGCAAGATGCTCCCTCCATTCCCCCCAGCTCCCAGCAGGTTTCTGCTCTCAAACCAGCTGGGCCTCGACAGGTGAGCGCCCACACCGCCAGCCCCTGGCAGAGAGAGGCTCTGGCAAATGGAGAAATAATGGTAAAGGCAGTGACAGCACCCGACGTCTGGGCTGGAAACACTACCCAGAACACAAGCAAACACTCAGGAGCTTCCAGAAGCCCAAATGACTTAAACTGCAGGCCAGGAGTGGTGGTTTTTGGTTTCTTCCTCCTTTTACCTCACCCCTTCATGGCAGGACTACGGGTAACCAAAATAAGACCAAGAAATGAGATAATGTTGTGTTGGAAGCCAAGCAGAACCTGCCCACCACCACACCTCGCATCCCCTAAAACCAGCAGCAGCCAGACATCACCACAGCAAGAGGGTGAAGTGAGTCCCTGTAGGGTGATCGGACTTCTCCCAACACCACAAACCTTGGACAAAACCGGATTGAAAACAAACAAAGCACCCCCTCCTAATTATTTCAGGTATGTGACAACTGAAACAAAACATCGTCTTGTTTTCTAATGGAAGCCTCTTACGTGAGCTGTTAGATATAGCAGGACAGTTTGTACGCTTCTGCGTGACTTCTGTAAAGTCAGAGCCTTTGCCACAAGAAGTTCATAAAAAATTCAGCTGCCATTTGATACAACTTCTGTGAGAGTTTCCAGGTTCTGCGTTCACATGCTTTGAGGAAAAAAAAAAAAGAAAGAAAAAAAAAAAAAGCAGGTTTGCTCTGTCCTAAAGTATTTTTCTGCTCAAAGGCCTGAAATGTCAGGGCTAGACGACAACAAAGAAAAATGCATCGACCTGGAATATGATGCTGGCATCACATCTCCCACGGGAGTAATCAGAAATAATTAGATAATTTATTTAAATTGTCTTTTCCTTAGCCAAGGGGGAAAGGGGAGTCGCAGACTCAACCAAGAAAAAAAAAAAAAAGCCAAAAAGGGTTCCTAAAAAAGGGTCCCTACCGTAACTTTCTGAGAGGTGAGGCTGCGGGAGGACAAAGGCAGCAGAAAGCCTCCGGCGGCCGGGGACAAAGCGCCGCAGAGGGCTGCCACGTCCCAGGAGCACAAGGAAACAGCTGAAAAGTCCTGCCCTGGAGGGCCCCAGCGGGTCAAAAGAAACTTCCCTTTCTTCTGTAAATGAGGAGAGGGAGGGAAAATAATAAATGATTATAATAATCACATTTTTAAAAAATTGCACCCCTGGGCTTCAGGCTGCCGGGGCTGGAGCAGGGAGGTGCCGATCTGTTGGCAGCAGGGATGCTCGCTGACAGCCCGGCTCTGCCTGCAGGGTTTGGGGCTGTTTTCCCCCTTTTTACCAAGAGGGAATGCTCTTTTTGCCCGAGGGGGAGCATGCACAAGCACGCTGCTCAGTGCCAGAGCCCTGCTGCTGCTGCTCCCAGAAGGGAAGGGGCAAAAGGTGCTGGGTGGGTGCTGTGCACCCCTCCCAGGATGTGCCTGCAGCAGGAGACCCAGCAGGAAGAAAAAAAAAAAAAAAAAAAAAAAAAAGAAAGAAAGAAAAAAAGGAAAAAAGAAAAAAAGGGTCGTGTCCCCCCCCTATTTTGGAAGTCCCAATCTGGGGCAGGGACACGAAGGGAAGGGACTGGGGTCAGAGATGCAAAGTGCTGCGAATGCCGGTGCTGCTCAATGCCGTCCGTGGCAGGGGAAAGGAGCCAAGGTTAAGTTTGGTGCTCGGGTGCCAGGCACGGCTCCCCGGCTCCGTGCTGCGGCACCGGGGCTCCTGCAGCTCCAAAGCGCCTTGGGTTCGAGCGGCTGCGAGAGGCAAGCGGGGCCCCGAGCTAACAGCCCCCGGCTTCAGTCTGGCAGCCGGCGGCGAGCGGCGAAGCGAGGTTATTTCTGGTCTGTTAAGGCAGGGGAAAGAGAATTTGCAAAGCTGGGTAAGTCAGAGAAGCGGCGTGCGCAGGGCAGCCGCCTGCTCCTGCAAGTTCCCAGGGAAAGCGGGCGGCTCGGGATGCTGCTCCCGGGGGAGCGGTGGTGGCAGTGCCGGTGGCAGCGTGTCCCCGCGGGGAGCGCTTCTCTCCCGGCAGCGCCCCGCGCTCCCGCCCGCTGCAGCGCTGGCAGCGGGGCTGCAGGATGCGTCCTGCTGCAAGGTGAGTCACTCGCAGCCTCCCCGAGCTGTCGCCGCCGCTCGAGGTCACGGACCCGGGCAGGCTCCTGCCTCCCAAGCGCAGCGGTTCGGCCAAGGCGAGGCGTGTGGCTGCCATTATTTTTTAATTAGGTTGTTTGTTTTGTTGTTTTGTTTTTTTTTTTCTTCCTCCTTATCTATCACTGATTTTAAGAGCTCGCAAAGCAAGGACATGCAAAAATAGAAAATGCAACATCTAATTTTTTTTTTTTTTTCCACATTACTACAGGGAAAGGGGTAAAGGAGAGACATGGTTAGAAAATAAAACTATTCTGCAGAATTTCATTTTCTACAGCCTAACACAGCTCCTCAAGATCCAGCCAAAGTTCCAAGCCCCTGAAGCACCAGAAAGCACACAGCACCCCGTTACCACGCCTGCTGCAAAGCCGTGCATTGCCTGCATCCCGTCACAAACACTAATTCACCTCCGTAACGCATCAAAAAGACAAGTGTCATGCTGAATCGTATTCTCCTCACTCCTCGCACACAACAGCAGAGCTAGCAATATATAACATGCATGACTCAGTCCTACCACCATGCCACCACAGAGCAGAAAGCCTTAAAATAAAGTAAATATCTTAAAAGGTCAATTAAGAAAAGCTTACAAAACATCAGACGCTGCTTCTCGCTAGAGCTCATTACCTAGTATGGTGGAGCTGCCTGTGTGTTTTTTTTTCTTGTGCAAGTTAGTCTGTGAGTCAGCATTAACACACATGAGAACATCAGGAATACTGCCTAGTTCTGATGCAATGGAGGTTGTAAAAAAAAAAAAAAAAAAAAAAAAAAAAAAAACTCGCGCTCCGTTTGGACAGGAGCCTGTAATTCAATTGCCTTTACTTTTCAATTACTGCATAGCCTACCGTTACCAAAC